GTAACCAGCGTATCCAGCGTAACCAGCGTAACCAGCGTAACCAGCGTCATCGGCTTAACCGGCGTAATCGGCGTAATCAGCGTAACCAGCGTAACCAGGGTAACCAGCGTAATCGGCGTATTCGGCGTAACCAGCGTAACCAGCGTAATCGGCGTAACCAGCGTAACCAGCGTAACCAGCGTAACCAGCGTAACCAGCGTAATCGGCGTAATCAGCGTAATCAGCGTAACCAGCGTAACCAGCGTCATCAGCGTAACCAGCGTAATCGGCGTAACCGGCGTAATCGGCGTAATCATCGGAGCCAGTGTAACCAGTGTAACCAGCGTCATCGGCGTAACCGGCGTAATCGGCGTAATCAGCGTAACCAGCGTAACCAGGGTAACCAGCGTAATCGGCGTAATCCGCTTAATCGGCGTAACCAGCGTAACCAGCGTATCCAGCGTAACCAGCGTAACCAGCGTAACCAGCGTAATCGGCGTAACCAGCGTAACCAGCGTAATCGGCGTAATCAGCGTAACCAGCGTCATCAGCGTAGCTAGCCACCGCCAGCGTACCAGCGTACCAGCGTGCAATCACTCGCGGACACGCTTTGCCACGTCGCTCACATTTGGGGCCCAGGCGGATGTGAAGAGAGATCTCGAGATCTTTTCTTGTGGAAACTCCGAAGTGCACAATCGATAGTAGTCCGAAAACTTCCCTGCCGGTAAGTGGCGCAGCTTGGATCTGTCCAGCAGTGGTTGGTCATATTTGTATGGGCCCTGGCGAGGGCGTTTGTTCGACGATGGATGAGCGGAGTCGGGCAGTGATTCTCCAGCTGTGTGGTATAATTGATGGAGAAAATGGTTCACCAAACTTCTCTTGTAGCTCTGTTTCCCAGGTCCCTTTGGGACATATCTGCCATCCAATGGCGCTGTTGGAGCACCTTCTCGCACCGACTTCTGGAGGGTTCTGAATCGCCCCTTCCCTAGTCCCAGCAACTTGATGAACCCCTTGTTGCATATGCTGTGACCCAATAGTGTCAAGGAGCGAGTGCCCCGGCACGAAGGAGCATGTCCCTGCAAGAGATCTCAGGCTTGAGCTATATGTCGACGCAGACTTTGGAGGCGACGCCGGTGACGTCAAGTCAACCTCGGGCGGGTTCCTCGTACTAAAAGGTCCTAACACATTTTTCCCACTTGCATGGATCTTGAAAAGACAGACATCCACTTCACGCTCCACCACGGAGTCCGAGGTGGTGAGTTTGGCACACTCTTTGTACCAGGAGGGTATACCTGCTCTTCAACTCTGGGAGAAACTCTTGCAGAGGCCGGTGGACTTAGTTATCCACGAGGACAACCAAGCCACCATCATAGTCGTTCGTAAGGGGTGCTCCCCGAAACTTCGACATATCGGCCGCGCACACAAGATAAACCTCTCATCCTTGAAAGAGTGTCTCGATGACCCATGCATCAATGTGCAATACATCGACACCAACGAACAGGCCGCCGACATCTTTACTAAAGCACTGCCACCACAGAAGTGGTACAAAGCTTTGTGCCTTCTCGGCATACGTACAGATATTCGCGAGCCGAAGCCATCCCTTAGGGATCGAAGCTTTTCGCTAGGAGCCGATGTAGCTGCAAAAGCCGCTGCTTATAATGCGCGGTAATTAATTCCTGTACATACAACCCATGGCACGCCAAAACGGCGAGGGGGGAGTCGAAATTCATGAACCAGGATTAACCCCTTATTTGTCATGCGGTTCATGTACAGACATGTTTAGCTAGGTCAGTTCAAACACCTTTTCAGGTTTCTCACTGACTTCGCTTTTGGCTCAAGAAAAGCGCGCGCCCGTCGTGCTTTTCAGCTTCCGTGCACGTCGCTCGCTCGCGCTCGCCCGTGCAGGCTTTCGTTCGTGCATTTCGTGCCTTCGCGCATTTCGGGTTGTGTTTGGTTTCGGGTCGGTTGCCGTAGGTGCTCCCTCCCCTAACTCACATCCCACTCTTACACTACGGGGACCAATCCCTCCGGGACTCCCCGTCGTGTTCCATCCCATACTAGGGTTCAAAACACCATTGGGTATCTTGCTGAACATCTCCCACTCCGTAGGTTGTGGTGGCTGTTTGGTGCCGATATCCCTGAACCCTTGTCACTTTCATTATAAAGCATAAGTTTTATGTAACTGGGGATTTGTGTGGCACTATGCGAACTCAGGGATGCAGTGTTTAACTATAAAGAAACTGCTATACCGGTATTTGAAGGCATAAGGCACCAGTCCAGATGTGTATGGCCTGAACCCTTCAAAACAAAAAATATAATTGACTGTGATGTAACTTGAAAAAGGTTACAATTTGCAAATCACAAAAACACACAACTGGATGTGTGAGTCCAGAACCACATAGCCGGGAAAAAATACATAAATTATTTCTTAATAACTGGGGACCAAAGTTCTGGGACCAGCAATGTTCAAAAAATATATATGTTTCAAGAAAATATAACTGGGCACTGGCGACCAAGGTTCCGGGACCTCTTATATTGAAAAGACAATCTTTTTTTTCAAACATATATTTGGGCACGGGGGACCAAGGTTCCGGAACCTGTAATGTTGGAAAAAAAATGGAAAATTACAAAATATAGAACCGGGGACCAAGATTCCGGGACCTGCAATGTTGGAAAAGTTCTGGAACCGGTCCCGGAACCTTGATCTCCAGTTATATATATATATATGTTTTTTCTAAAAATTGTATAATATTGTTTTCCAACATTACAGGTCCCGGAACCTTGGTCCCCAGTTATGTATATAAATACTCTTTTTATAAGGTTACAAACTACAAATTTCAGGTCCCGGAACCTTGGTCCGCAGTTATAGTTATATATATATATATTTTTTTCAATATGTTAAGTATAATCTTTTCCAACATTACAGGTCCCGGAAACTTGGTCCCCAGTTATACTTTTTTGACAAGTGCAGACCAGCGCTGGCCGAAGTGAAGTTTTTGGTAAGAAAAATTCCCAAGTATATGGTTTTCAAACTTCACCTGATTCACCTCTTCATTTGTTTGAATAAAGTATTTGGTTTGATATGTTCACAGTTGTGATCTGAATTGCTTCAAGCTGGTTTCAATCCAGTTCCAACATGCAGACAGAAGCATGTCACAGACATGTGCTGTGAACACCAGCAGTACAAAGAGATGTTTGAAAAAGAGTTTGCTAATGATCCGCTGCTAAATGGGGGTTATTTGATTTTGCAAGTTTTCCTACCTCCGCACCTTTCCAACAACTTATATTTTTTCGAAATGTTTCCAGCCATCATAACCCATAGGTTGTGAAATTTAGCATAGGAACTGTCTAATTTCCCACGTTCCAGATCGTTCTAGACGTTTTTAGACGGATCGTTTTTTTGGGGAAGTGGTTAAAGTGCTGTAGGGGTTGCTCGGAACTTTTCGTGTTTGGAGTTTCGATGCAGTTTCTATCAATTTTGACTACATGAGTTTTCCGGCCCAACAGTTTCGGAGGATTTTTTACGTCCTCTAGCGAATCGAAGCGAAAAGCGAGCGACATGGGAAGCGAAGCCGCCAACATGCATGAACGCCAGGGCCCTCACAGGCACGGCAGCCTAACACAGGTTTTGGAAACCTCAAACCACACATGGGAAACAACTGGGGTCTTCGTAGTCCTTTTGGTTCAAACCCCGTTGTGCGGGTAGTGTGCCCGCAAACGCCCGCAAACCATTTGCGCCATGAACGCTCACGCATTGTTGGTGGCAACGTCACCCAGCAGCAGCGAACACATATATGGTTTCAGTTGTTCTCGTAATTTAATGTAAACGAGTCAGTTCTACGGTGGTATGGGTTTTTGGGTTTGCAAATGCGTAATTTAGCTGTTTGGGGCGATGCTCGTGTATAGTTGGCAAGCACCTGTTGGTGTATCAATGTCATGGCTGAGGGCCAGGTGTTCTGGCATTTGGCCAGTTTGTGCCGATCTTCACGAAATTGAATCAGGATGAATCAGGAACATACACGCGGGCTGATGTTTGATGTCGCATGCAATGGAAATTATATCATTGAACCGTTCACATTGAACCGTTCACATTGAACCAACCCTGAGACAGTTTAGCCAACCCCGTAATTCCGTATAATTATTACAATGCTGTTTGATATTTTTCTTCATTGTGACAATTTCAAACCCGCAGCAGCCGCAAGCATCGTGCGGGACCTATGTTTTTTGGTAACAATCAGTTTTGAACCATGTGCAGTTCATGTGCATGACCGTCGCAACAACAGCAAACTTGAGGTGCAGTTGTGGGCAGCAGGCCCGATCTCTCGGGATGTCATTGGTCAGGTGATGCTTTGTTGTTTTATTCGCTAAGGCTTTCAAGTTGTGTGTTCATGCATGTCGTATCCCATTGCACTATTTGGGCTTATATATATATATGCATTTCGGGCCCACACCGATACCCTGTTACGTGCGCAAATTGCAACATTGATCGGGTGTGAACAGGTAATGCCGCACTTATGTTGTTCCCTTCGCAGTATTTGGTCCAAACGAGAGAACATTTTCGACACACTTGAGATAATGCAATGTGACCTGGAAGGCAGGTTGTGTGCCACCACAGCACCAATACCTTAGTGCAGCATTAGTTGCGCAGTGTTTCACAACAACCGTTGGTTCAACTTTTATCAGGCTTTGTTAATTTGTTGTGCTCCTTTCCACGCCATGGAGGGTTATCGGCAAGATGTTGGCAGAGCTGCCAGCAGCATGAGTCACCCTTCTTGATTTGACCCGTCCCAAACTAGTTTCAGTCAGTCCTTAGGTCGGGAACGCTTTTGGAAATGGGAGTGCCTTCATGTCCCTTCGTTTTACACTCGCCTTAGGGCGCATGGCCAGACTGAATGACACATAGTGCGAACAAAATCGTGCGACAAAAGACGTATCGCCGGCAAAGCGCCATGAGGTGTGCCTAGCGACCTGTCAGATTGCAGCCCCCGGGCTTTGATTCGGAAGGTGGGGAAGCGTTGCTGTGGGCCAATTGGCTCACACCATTGTTGATGAACATCATGCAGTTAAGCTGCTAAGACCGAGCAATTCATCTCAATTTGGCTTAGCTGGCTGCGGCTAGACTTTGCCAAGCTCACCTCCTAGCTGTGCATCCCATTGTCATGCCTTATCACTCGCTTCTGGCCCAAATGCAAATGTAGCATTCCTTCATCCGCAGGCCTCAAGTTACTTGCGTGTTGTGGTGAGGACCCTTTCACGAACTGGGTGGAGCTCGAGACTGCCCGTTGTGGAGGGAATTTGCCACGAAGATTGGTGAACATGCAGTTGGTCGCCTGGCTTTCCTGCGTTCAGGTGCGTTTCCGCCAAGATGGATGGCATGCAGAGAAACTTTTGGAGATGATAATGTTGACACTGCAGGTGGCCTTGAGCCGCCGCCGTTTACCTTCTTGCGGCCGCTGTGCCGGAAAAAGGAGGCTGGTGAGCTAGTGAACCGCTAGCGATCAACTAGCGGGCCGACATGGCCCAGTTCACAGTACTGACATTTTGTATATGTATCCAGATGTATCCAGACGTTGTGATTGCTTTGATGTTTGTGCATGTTTGGCAGGCGGCTTAATCTTGCCATATTAAGCATGAACATCACGTAGTCATCACGTCTTCAGAACGGATGTTTGTTGGATGTGTTCGGGAATGTTGTAGGCACCAGTAGCTACATTTGCAGGGGGTTGATTGTTTTCAGTTTTCCACATGTTGTTCCAGAGTCGTTCAAGACTGCAAATGTTGGACCGCCTTCAGCCCAAAGTTGAGGAATTCCAGGCTGTGCCGTCGGCGTTTGGTGGCTTCATTGCCATTGCTTTGCCGCGATTTAATTTGAGACTTGGCTGTTTGGCTTCCAGAGTGAGTCGGCCGTCAGCTGTTGGATTTTTGCAGACCACTTCCAAAATATGCTAGATGCTAGATTTCAGCCAGGTGTGTCCAACATGGTGCCGTTTTTGTAGTCAGGTGACTTCGTGGGAGACCAAACTGGAGCCAGCATCACTGCCAGCAGCCTACGAGTCAGAGTCAACAACGTCCGCCTTCAGGACAGATCACCTAGAGCGTGTGTAACTCGGTACTTGGTGTTACTAGTAGCTTCTAGCTGCTAATAGAAATGCATTTGTCCTGGTAGTGATGCGCTTAGCTGCTCGTAGCGTGTATTCTTGTAGCTACTAGCAGTGGTGCCATTGTAACTAGTATTTTCAGCCTTGTCAAGCCCGCTCGCACGCTCACGAACTTGAACTCGATCAGGACATTTCTGGCACCTTGTTCCATGAGTTCCGCAAAGCTGCTGATCAGGGCCTCACCTCGTACTACCTGAATCAGAATATCAAACTGATCTCGTGACTTGGACCCACAGCTCACACCTGAGCACAGAGTGTCACCATGGGTCCCAGCCTGCATGGTATGGACTTAGGTAAGAGGGTTGTCAAGCATCACCCTCCAGTACCTACAAGGTGTTTCCAATTTTGTGCCCCGAAGCTTTCGGTTATTCCCAGGTTTTGGAGGCCTTGGATGTTGGAAGCTGATGGTCCTGCCTGGATTCGCAGCTGCTTGGCCTCGCGGGGTTTCAAAACAGAGATTTGCAAGGCCTGGAAGCACGGACCGTGGTCTCAAATTTGATGTGAACGACACCCCCTCTCCCACACCCCCCATTCACCGTAGCCCGATCTGGCCTAAATCGGATTTAGGCCAGGTGGATTTCCATGTCACAGTTTTCGGCACACGCAGTTCTCACTCGCCGCACTGGCAGGTGTACCACACCGCACCTTGGCTGCCTTTATCGCATGTATCAAAATCAGGTGACGTTCTTGCTGACCAGCCATGGCTTCAAGACGTTTGAACTGACGGTTGAACTCCTTTTGTAAAGACCGCCAGTGTGACCTTTCCTTCGACGATGTCCAAGGCATATGCTGGCGTGCAGGGCTGCAGCTTTTTCGAGCTGAAAGTCTCTTGGTGATGTGGAAAATGGCCGCTGCTAGCCTTGGCACCACTGTTGCAAGACAGACATGTTCTTTGTTTGGCATCTTTACATAGTCAAAGGAAAACGCTAGAATCAATACCTGCGTCATGGTCTTCATTGAGTTTTTGGCAATGCCACCTGCGGACCTGAACAGCTTGAAGCTTACGCCCGGCCATCCAAAGCCATCCCCCTTGTTTGTGTTTATGGCATGCCATGAGAAAACTGAGGATATGACATGATATGACTTCGGTCCTTGGAGGACCGTCATGCAGCTTCAAGTGCCACATTCAGACGTCACTGAATAGCCTTCAATCGCCTTCAAATGTTCGTGATTTCGCATTGTAACATCGAAAACAAGCAAGGGGAGCATTTGTATAATTGGCATTGGGCAAAACAGCACGGCAGCCAGGAATGTGAGAGGAAATCCCACACAAACACGAGAAACACGGATCCCCAGCAATCCGTTTCTAGATGTTTCTAGGATAGACTGAAGCTGCAAGAGCCACATGCCAAAGCTTAACCTCACTCAACCTCCTAACTGAGTGCCAGAGCAATCGAAGCCATGGCAGGGGAGAGCAATTTTGAGGGCTTCCAGGTATCGCACACAGAGCATGGGACAGATTGAAGGGTCCCTGCACAAAGCCATACTCCTTTTTTTCTGAGCTGGATGGAAACTTTCAAGACTTGATGACTTGATGGTTTGGAAGCGAGATGCAGGCGCTGCAAAACTCTGAGAAGCCAGCTGTGCTCGTTTTGGGTGGAACAAAGTTTATGGGCAAGGACCGCTTTTTGTGTGGTTCGCTTTTGTTGATCATCGATGACCCACGATGCTCCAATTGTACGTAGACTGTTTGCAACTACATGCGACCTATTCTGCGCCCAGGCGTTTGTTGGAGAAGTGCTGGACAAAGCCCGCGATGCCCTCAACCCTGCCTGGAAGATGGGATGAGACAGGATAAGACGGGAAGAACTTTTTTGGTGAAGAAGGTCAAGCACAATCACAATGGAGCAGTCCTGCACTCCAATCTCCAGCTACTGAATGGATGGACTTAGGTGTTTGTGTGGTCAACCGTGGGAAGACGTACTGGGCAGCGGATCCTTTTGCAGCTTGCAAGCTTATGACTTATGGCGCTTATTGATGCCCTTTCACCACCATTCTCTGTTCCAGATCACTCTTTGGGGTCGTGAGTCGTGATTGTTGCTTGTGACCAACTTACCAGGCAGATCGTGTGGCACGTGTTCGTGCTGATCGTGACGAGAGTGCCACCTTTGCAAGCAGCGTGCGGGAGGCGACGCGGCGTTTAGGCGCGCTGGAATGTCCAGTCTGCCAACTTGGAGATGGGATAACATCAATACTTTTGACACCTATTGACTGATGCTTCAAACACGCTGAACTATAGATAATTGCATCCTAAATTCACCTAATTATATATACATATTATATATATATACACATATATATATATAAATTCCATGGCTCCCATATGGGGCATGGTTTTGTCGATTCTTATCAGAGAAGTGTTTGCAATTTCAAGTCAACTTGGATGCCCAAAAGAATGGCATGCCGAACTGACAATGTAGGCAGTGACTGGGATTGCGTGGTCGATTTCTCCGGCTTCACAGGATGCTTGCCTGCTGTTCAGGCTGTTCAGGTTGTTCAAAGCCCATGTTCTGATGCTTCCAGTTGAGCCCATCGTTTGAGGTGAGGACGTCAAAGCCTCGCTGACCGGACTGGCTGGTGTGGCTTGGCATGGTTCATAGAGCATGAACTTGACTTCTTGTCTGACACACCCAAAGCTATTTCAGAAGGTAACCACAGGTCACCCACCTTAACAGTAAAGTCCAGTGCCACATCTATGGATGGTTAAGTGCATGGATAACAGCGACCGTTAATTTCAGCCATTTGCCCCCTGTCGGCATCGGCAATAGGCTCTCATGGCTCTAAGTTTAAGAGATGGAGTCCAGCCAACCGCTGAGGGTGGCCAAAATACTTTTTCACTATTTTCTCACTATTTTCTTGCTATTTGCTCACTATTTTCCTGTCCATGCTTTGCTTTCCTAGGTCTCCGCAATCACATGTTGCATGAACACCCCAACCTATGTTCACTATTTTCTTGCTGAGTTCCTTACTCAGGACCTCACAAAAAAACAGACACCTACATTTCCAGTGGTTGCCTGTCGTCGCAAGTTTTTACTCTAAGTGAGGACTCACTGTTTACATTTGTTTACACATATCCACAGCCCAGAAAAGTGGTTGGTGCCTCTGTTTGCACCGTGTTTACTAGGCCTTTAAGATGTACATTTACATCTCTTCAGATTCCATCTATGAGGCGCACTCACTGTTTTGTTGGCAGCCCACCACCATACCTTTGCTTATTGCTGGATCCATGGCAGGTGAGTGCTTGGGCGTACGACAAATGGAAGCCAAGGCAACATGGCCAGCAGTTTCTTGAGGGCTTGAGTGACATCAGACAACCACAAGGCCTTCATGACAAGAGCTGGTTCTAACAGAATACCTGAAGAGGATTACGTGTTGCTGTGCTTGTTTTTGTCTCGTTCCTATAGACTTGCTAGGCGTTCTAGCTCTGGCGGCTATGAGACATCCGTATCCGAGCACCTTGCTAACCGTCCTGAGGATAAGGACCCGGTGGCGGCCAGAGTTCTGGTGTGGTTTGATGGTCAGTTTGATTGGTTTCATGTTGATTTTGGAACAGCCATTTCAGGCGGTTGAGGCTGTGGATTTTGAGTACTGGGAAGGAGCAGCAGGATGTCTTGAACAATGCTGACAGCTATGGACACGAAAAACTCCAGGGTGAAGAACGCTTGTTACAGGACCCAGTGACAGAGTGTAGTTGTCATGTTGTGGGTCTGGTGGGGTAACTTGGAGCCCCTTTAGCGTGGCTTCCAGGATCTACCACCGGGACGACGAGGCCTGATCCTGCGGCTGCCGGATGTGATTGGCCCCTTCGATTCAACGCAGCCTGGCAAGCAGCGTAGATTGCTTTGGTCTCTTGCTCTATCTGAATGGACCATATACAGCGCCCGTATTCGCCTGTTCTTTACTCATTGTCAATGACATTGCTTGCCCCATTCGTCTCACTGAAGCTATGGGCCACGTGGGTGTTCGTTCATGGCATAGACCGAGAACTGCCAAGGCACCGCTTGTGGGCATACTGGCACTGGCTGCGAGTGGGTGAAATGGGAGCTCCCCCGCCGCAAGTCCAGAGCTACAAGCGGAAGAGGAGCGATGCTTTGAATGAGCCCTTCACCCAGGTGAACCCAACCTTGAATGGCCCATGGACCCTTGTTAACCCTAAGTATATGTATATATAAAATACACATAGATGTTCGAATGTTCGACCGTTCATGGGTAGCAGATATCGCAAGCCATACTCGTTGCCGCCAAACTTGAACTAGACCAAGGAGGAGTGAAAGCATGTTTGGAGGGGGTTTATTGCAGAGCAGATTGGCCTCCAGGAAAATGTTCGATGCAGATGGTTTGGAAGTTCCACAGGTGCGCTTCCGTAGACGGTGTCGACCACCTTCTTCAGAGAAAATCATTCTGCGAAATGCGAGACAGATAGCAGATAAGATACCTGCGCAGGAACCTAATGCTTGATCAAATGTATATGCCCTCCTGCTGGCGAGTTCAACTCGGCCAATTCCTCCTTGCTTGTGGGAGGCCCACAATATGAAGGGAACATGACATATATAATGGGTTGAGTTCAGGTGTGACGACACAAGTGAAGAGTTGTGAGAATTGAAGATCAGTCAAACATTGAAGTGAAAGGTGCAACGTTGAGTTACCTGTTGATGAACTCACTATTGATGCTGCAACGATATAAGCTGAGTTGAAATGACACGCCACAAAAGGGACCTCTCTCTCTCTCTCTCTTGCTTGTGCAGTCCATCTCTCGCATTCTCGCCCTCAAAGTGCTTCGTCATCTCCTCTCGCCTCGTCCCTTTTATTCTTTCGACGTGTAAGGCCTCTGGTGATTGCCAACTGGCAGTGGTCTACAGCTTGGACGTGGCCAAGCTCCTCGTAGAATCAATTTCAATCCCTGAGGTACGGTGGGTCAAGACTCAGACGCCCTCAACTCCTACGGGTTTGTTCTACCTACTTGCTCAGGACGTGCAGACGTCACCACGCCAACAATATTACCTAAGTTTAATTCGAGTTCGGGCGATTCTGCATTCAGGTTTCTGGCCAGACTGGTCATGCAGCCACCCGCAGCACTCGAGAGCCGCGCAGATGTTATTAACTTATGTTGCCCTAGCCTTAGCTCTGTGGCAGACAGAGAGGGAAGATGACAGTTGAGAAGAGAGAAGTCCACAGAAGAAGCCGCATCTCAATAGTTGTATATAGTTGTTTATAGCTTTGTGAAGACTTGGGACCCCGGATATTAAACTACTGTAAGTAAGAACAGTCCAGTAACATCCAGTAACTCCAGTATTGCAATACCGATGGTGTTAAACAAGCCCAAACCACCAGGTTGTTTGTGCAGTGGCCATTGGTATTGTCTTGGTGAGGTGACGAGCAATTGCAGCTCAGTGCGTTCCTTGAGCGCTTCTTCGTGGTGGCTGGGGGTGATCGCAAACGCCCACGCATGGCCCCAGAGCAAAACCCGAAACTTGTCCGAACAAGAAGCCCTCGCGTCGTGTTTGACATACACACGTGATGGGCCATACACGGCTCCATTGCTCAACCTAAAATCATAACTGCGAAGCCTGGAGTCGAGCAGGAAACTGTACCTTCCAAGTGTTGATCGACCCTGGCCGCTGAATTGCACCCGGGCGAAGGAGGCAGGAACACACAGCTCAACTGCGCGCGGTCTTCATGAGTCTTTGTAAGCACAGCCTTTGGTCAGGTCTATGGGTTTCAGCCCGCTCCCTTGGATGAGGTGCTCCGGTGCTGCGTCGATTTCTTTGAGGAGGGTTGTGCGGCCTAGAGGCACTAGGATGTGATCGATTTGCACAGACATTCGGCATTTTGTCAGACTGCTCACGTGTTTGGACAATTGGGAGGTAGCCATTGTCGCTTTGGACTGACTTCATGTCGTTTTACTGAGGCTAAGTTTCCAGAAGAGGCCAAGAAGGCAGCCCAGAAGCTTCCATCTGAACCGGCCGCATATGCGCTGAAGCTGCTCGAAGCGCAGCAGTGCTCCCGAGAGCGCCCGATGGGGTGAAAATCGAGTCCCGTTGCACATCAAAGTTGCACATCAACAATCATCAACATTGGGACTTCATGGTGAATGTTCTTTTGAGTTGTCTTGCAGCTAGTGACTGGAACTTTCTGTTAGAACTTTCTCTCCCGTTTGATTTTGCAGGATGATTGAGGCTGAACAGTGCAGGAGGCAATCCACTTCTTCTTTGTTCTTTGTGGTCAAGGTGGCGGCAGTTTCATGTCAAATTCGTCGAGGCATGTTGAGGCACCCCTAAGCTGCAAAGTACGGGCGTTCGGTTGAGACTCCTAGACTAGACTGCTGCTCCCCGCCGTGCAAAGAGCAGAACCATCTGCCGTTTGCCCCGGAGCCACTGCAAGTCACAATAAGGCTATGAGACGTTAGGATTCAGAGGATTTCGCGGGTTTGTTGTTTGAAACCGCTCAGTTGTGGCCCACGACAGGCTTATTGGGCACCGTGCATCTGAGATAGGGGAATCCAGAGTGGGGCCAGGCCAAGCCACCCGAATTGGGAAGTACAGTCAGATCTTGTTACAGACCATGAGTCAGGAGTGGTCGTGAAGATGTTGTTATTTTATGTGTTGCTGGGAGGCTGCAGAACTACTACATAGTAATGACCATTTTCACACACACGTGTATATATATATATATACCAATTTGCTGCAGTATGCTGCAGTGCTGTGTGTTTGCTCTTCTGCACTGAAGTGAACACATGGTGCACCCTGCGGCCGCCTGTGGCTATCTTGGCAGTTGGTCCAAGCAGCGGTTTGCTCTCAGTCTTTTGCTTCAGTCCTTTCGCTCAAAAACATGGGGTCTGGTGCATCTACAGAGGAGGTGAAGGGTGCCATCAGCGGAAAGTCACCTGAGGAGATCGCAGCGGCCTTGCGAGAGCTGCCAGCTGATCAGCTCGCGAAGATCAAAGATGCTTGCAACAAAGGTGGCCCCTGCCCCGGGCCCGTGGATTGCAGCGCCATCACCGTGGTGGCCAAGGACTATAAGGGCTTGTTGGAGCAGCCAAAGGAGCCCAAGTTCAAGGGCGCCCTTTGCCAAATCTTTGTGCGTGGCCAGCCCTATGGAGGTTCAGACAAGAGCAACTCAGAGGTCCAGCTTCAGACAGATTTTCGACAGCCCTTTGTCAAATCCCACCAAGACCCCTCAGGGCAACCCGTATCCCAATCAGGACCCTGCTAGGTGCAAAAGAGAGAGAGGGAGAGAGAGAGATAACGATAATTAACCGATGGTCCACAATAGTGGTAATGATCTCTCCAATGAAGTGACCCAGCAGGGACAAGTGATCAAGGCAAGTGCAACCATCATAAGAGCAATTGCAAAAACAAGACAAGAAGAAAGAGCACACCATGAACGACAAGACGCAGGAGAAGTCGCAAGGACAACAATGAGACTTTGACGACACGCGGGCTAGTTGCAATGAAAGGCAGCTGTGGCAGCGACAGAAAAGACATAGTTATCGACATACCGAAGATACACGACTCAGCAAAAAGAGCGGCAGCAAGATCGAAAAGCCTCAATGACGGCATCAATCACAAGTCAATATGGCAGCAAATATGGCATCAGGACAGCAGCAATCCGGAAAATGCAAACAACGTTGCAACGTTTATGATAAGCCTCCGTTAATGGCAGGAGCTACAGCTACGTTAAATTAACACAATGCCTTCTGCCAACTTGCCAACTCCAACAGAATGACAGCTTCTATGAGAAGCCCAGTGCTAGGACCAATGATAGGCCAGAATTACAACAACAGTGACATGCGTCAAGTACGGCAGGAACGACACAGAGTGACAGTGCCAATGACAGAGGACATTTAACTTTAGTTACTGTATATAGTTACGAAGCACTTGCAACCACAATGACAACGCCAATGTCAAGACACCCTGGCCAGAGCAATGCTACAATGCCAATAGCAACGGCAGAACAATATGAAAAGAGCAATATCATGCATGCCGCAGTGAACAGATGAATAACAAGCCAAAGTGCGCACCCAGTGACAAGAGCAAGGGCAAGACAGAATAGCTACAGCAACAGCAAGGGGCAAGGGACAATGACAAGCAAAACCTGCATCAAGTGGGAATGAATGGTGCTAATTAAAGGGGCCTTTGGAGCTTCTATTTTCTTCTCACATTGTCACATTCCTTCCTCTCTGGAGCTATGTCTGATTATGTATGCGCTTTTGATGCAGTTTCTGTGGGTCCAGGTCCAGGTGCTGTTCCAGGTGTTTTTGGAACTGGGTGGGCGCTTTGGTGTCGGTGCAGGTACAATCAGTAAATTCATGGTCTACTTTAGTTGCAACCTGCAACTGTTTTTACTTTGTCAGACCGAATTCGTGAAAAGCAACACTGTTGTCCGCATACTTTTACGTCATGGCAAACCGTGTGTTGCTGTTTGCTGCGTTGCCTTGACTTGACTGCAGCTGCTTTGCCAATGCGTTGCCACTGCTTTGCCATTGTCAGAGTGTTTGAGAATGGCAATGCTGTTGCGATCGCGGCCATCAATTCATACTTGTATGCGTGCAACATCATGCCTGCCACCATGGCACCTGCTGCAACAAAAGGGGCTTGCTGCTTGCATTTCATGTGTTGAGTGGCGTGAGACTGCCAGGGGGGCGTGCTGCTTGTTGCTATGGCCTTTGTTAGGGGCCTGGCCTGACATTTTTGGAAAAGCTGTATAACTTTTGCACACATCGTTTTCAGCTTTCCGAACTTTAGCAGAGCCTTTTTCACAAAAAGGCCAAATTACTGTCCTGACCAGCGCAGCCCAGGCACACTGGTACTGGTAGGATAACTGAGTCGGGGTTGGCGGTTTGTTGTAGTAATTGTCCTTGAGTATTGGCCTCTGTTGTGTGTTGTGGGCCGTATGTTTGGTGTTGCCATTATTTTGTGTCAAAGTTTGTCGTTTGCCCTTGTGTTCGTTGTGTGGTTTGTCTGTGTGTCATTGTTTGGTGTTTGCTGTCTTGTTTGTCATTGGACTTGCGGCGGCAGAGGTCACGATACGGTTATCTCCGTTGGACCTGTCTCTTTTTGTGGTATCTCTGTTTTTGTTTGGTGTTCAGTTCTGATTGTGTCTTGTTGGTGTTGCAGTTTGTTATGTTTGTTGTCTGTTGTTTTGTTCGTCGTTGGACTGGCCGCCCTTGCAGCAGCAGAGGTCACGACGGGGTAATTACAGTATCTCTTATACAATTCAGATACCCGCTGCCACAATCCTGCTGGGTGAGGAAACACCTGACGCCGTTTTATTGCATCTTAATTCCACCGCGCTATGCCGGCGTAAAAACGTTTCCTGAAAGACTTGGTCGAAAGGGCTCTTCCTGAAGGTACTTGGTCTGTCTAGCTGAGGCTGTAGCATTTGTAAGAGTCTAGCACTTGCAAGAGACTTGATCAAGTTTAGCATTTGCAAAATCTTGCCCAGGCTTTAGCACTTGTAAGAGTTTTGCTCAGGCTTTAGCACTTGCAAGAGACTTGATCAAGTTTTTGCATTTGCAAGAGGCTTGACCAATTTTTGCAATTGCAAGAGCCTTCACCAAGCTTTGTCACTTGCAAGAGGCTTCACCAAGTTTTTACACTTGCAAGAGGCTTGGCCAAGTTTTTGAATTGCAAGAGGCTTGACAAGTTTTTGCACTTGCAAGAGGCTTGACCAAGTTTGAGCATTTGCAAGACTTGACAAAGTTTGAGCATTCGCGAGAGGCTTGACCAAGATTTAGCACTTGCAAGAGACTTGATCAAGCTTTAGTACTTGCTTGACCATGTTTTTGCATTCGCAAGAGACTTGACCAAGTTCTTGCAGCTCTTGCCTTTGACTTGACCAAATTCTAGCAGTTGCAAGAGACTTGACCAAGTTTTAGCGTTTGCCAGAGACTTGACTGGTGCGCGCTTTGCTTGAAACTTTCGGGCCTGTAGGGGGTCTAATTTGGAGCCTGACCCCACGATTCCCAAGCGTTGTTATAGTCAGGGTGTTTTCCGTCACCGTGCCCGATATTAGTAGCTAATGGGATCGCAGTTGTGCACATCTAAGGCAACAATGGGCACCGCTATGACTCCATCCCCATGGCCAACGGCATGATTAACGCAGGCATGTCGTGCCAGTTGATCCACTATACGCATGAGGAACACGACACTTTCTTCACCCTTTGCAAGAAGTTTGATTTCATTATCGTTCGTTGCAACCCGGGGCAAATCAAAGCCGACGGGGGAGATCAACAGAAGTTCGATGATGGGATGCGTGCCCTTCGCAAGGCCGGCATCCAGATTTGGCCATCCCCAGATGTGATGGAAAAGATGGGTGCAAAGGATGCGCTTTGCAAGGTGGCTACGATGAACATCGGCCTGGAAGACACGTTGGCCTACTACACACCCGAGGAGTTCGCAGCGGGCTTCAAGAAGACCATGGCCTTCCAACCTCGTGTCATCAAGCAGAACCGAGGCTCCTCTGGCGAAGGCATGCTCCGCCCGAGAAAGATGTTGACAATGTGTGAAAGTCGGCCGGCCAAGCAAAGCACAAGCTTGGCTTTCGCAAGTATGGTGTGTCCACGATAGACTTCCGATAGACATACCGTCTCCGGAAAAGGTTCAAGTTAGAAACTGTCCAGCATGATCAACATGAGTAGCAACAAGTTTTCAACCACAATGACAGAGAGCACAACCAGCCTGAAGGATACCGAACCTTTCAACAAGATTTCCACAATTTATATAATTGTTCCACTGCTGCTGGCTCAATAATATCAATCTGTCCAGGAATGATTTGTCCAAGAGTGCTTAGGAGACGGTGCTTTCCTCCTTGACAAACTTGTCATGCATTTTCGGCGCATTTCCTGCCAACAACTCTGATTGACCTGTCAGGCATCTGGATCATCAAATTGAAGGAGGCGCAACCCGGGCAATACTTTTCAAAACATGTCCACTCTTGGATTGATTTCGGGTCATCCACTTTCGTTTGTGAAATTCTCAATGCTTGGTTTCCGAACATTGGGACCATCCCCGGGATGGTTTTAGT